CGTAAACACACAGCTACAGTCCGCAATTGCTGCAGCTAACGACGTCGCTCAGGCCCAAGCACGAGCTACCGTCGAAGCTCATGCTGTACACCAAGCACATGTAGCTGACGTCCGTATGACGGAGACAATCCAGCGTCTCCAAGAACAGCTTTACGCCAGCATGGAGCAGTGCGTACAGGACGTTCTAAAAGCTCATGTAGAACAAGTGAGTGCAAAAATCCGACTCACAGTGGCAGCACAATGTCGGGAAATCCTAAAAGGTGTTGAAGAACAGATTAACGCTATTAAGAAGGATACTACAACAGTGATGGAGCAGACAAAAACTGCTGCGGAAAAGAAAGCCAAGTCGATTGTTCGGCCGACACTGCGCAGAGGAAAAACGCAGCGCACGAGAAGAAAGAAGCGAGACTATTGCAATCATTCGAAGATTACAAGCAAACGACTGTAGCTACTGATCTATTGCGTGTAGATGAACTTTCTTCGAGCATTCGTTTCCCAGCAAACTGTTAAGGTGATAGACGTCAAAAAGTCAAGCTGTTGCGCAGCATGGAAGTAGCGCGGTACGAGATAAGCGATCAGGTGGCGAAGACAACGCAATAGATCGTGCCACGTCCTCGATGCCCCCAGCAATAGTTGCAACTTCTATGTCGCTTGATGAAGAGAAGGAGATGTACATCAGCAACGTTCATGTGGGCAAACTAAATGGAAGTAATCGGGCTAAGCTGTCCGAAGATGCGCAGGAACTACACAAACTAATGCGGTATCCTAAGCCGACCTGCGAACAAGACATCAAATTAAGTATCGATCTGCAATCTGTTCGCCGATCCGCGCAACAAAAGGTTGTTGCGCGTGCGTTGGCGAGGTCTCGGGGTCTAAAAACCAATACTACGAAGCCCAGTTCACTACCAAAAACAAGCTCACGAAGACTTCCACTCCAGACGACAGCCCGTAGAGCGAACCAGGAGCCTCGCCTCTCTGAAGAGAGAAAAACAATGAAAAAATTGAGAGCAGAGGAGGCATTGCGACTTGCAGAATTCTTGCTTGACCATGCGAGTCACTAAACTCAGACAGACGAGGAAATTAGGACAAGAAGATATACTAATGGGTAATAATGACATGGCTAAATCTTATATGTAATATTCAGTTGTCTACGTCTCCGTATCTTCGATATCTTCCTCACTGTCACTTGAAAAGTACCCGCTCAGCAGCTCACAACCCTCTGCGTCGTCTTCCTCCATTCCCACCTTGACATTCGACGGAATAAACTTGTCGATGTCACGTACGTGAATCTTTGGACACTGCGTCACATCCACGAACTGCCTGTTGCAGTTTAGAGATGCCGACATATCCACATTATGAGGTGCTATGGAGCCTCGTTGCGGGGTTACCAGCTGCCCCGCTGTTCCAAAGTCGCGTTCGATTTGAGCGGAAGAAGAAGGGATTGCGAACAAAATCCGTGCTACGAGTGGAAGAAACTTGTATGTACCAGTCTCTGCTTGACGTTTCCAGAACTCTAGTTTGGTCTCAGCGCGACTGCCATTGATCTGGAGAGAGGTAGGGGCTGTTTCCCATCTCTCCAATTCTTCGTCAATACGAGTAGAATTTAGATCTTGAGTAGACTCAGGTTCGGTTGGATCTGTGTCGATAACATCGGCAAATAGCTCCATGAGGTCCTCGGAGAAAAGCGTTGAAGGTGCCGGAGACTGATCATCAACTGGTGGGGATGGCCGTACTTCCTCCGGGGCAGCCACTGCCACCATAATCGACCGGACCTTGTCATAAATCGTCTTTTTAATCTTGGTGAAGTGTCGATCCCCTGCTGCTGTGGCGACGCCACTCGAATCAGCATTGCACAACTGAATAACCCGCTTGAGAAACCCGTCGAAACTTTTAAAGTTGAGGTGCAGGAAGAGCTGCATCTCCAATACAAATGAGCACTTGATAAAAAAAATTCGGTCCGTGTAGCGCGTGAAAAATCGCTTATGAAAAGCGTCGTGAACAAGCGTGCGTGTGTTGGATGCTAGAAGTGTAAGATCCTCAGGTCGGAAGGCCATTGGGCGCTCTTTAGTAGAGCGAAAATCACGAAGCGCCTTTGAACTGTCCAGGACGGTGACTCGCAGCTTATACAAAGTCAATAGAGCCTCAACTTGATTCGCACTTTCAGCCTGGGCCTTAGTGCTTATAGACGTTATAGGTTGTAAAATCGACAAGATTTGAATGAGGTTTTGATAATCCCGCTCCAATGGAAATCCGGCAGGAAGACTAACACGTTCCTTTCGCGCCTTGTCAAGTCTCTCAGCATACCACGTCACTAGAGGCTCCCATAGGTTAAGAATTCGTCTGATGACACGCGTGAGGCCCAAAAATCGATGTGCTCGATAGTCCAGCAGCTGATGGGGGGATTGCTTACTCTTTCTAAAGACGCACAGCTCTTCAAAAAGTGTACCCATAACTTCAACATGCTTGACTGTGTAGACGGTCTTGACGATGCGGCGAGTCAAATCTGTCATGGCGGGGGTTTTAGATTTGGACGCGTCCGCTACCATACCACATGCAATCTTAGTAGCCGCATTGGTCATGTGCGGTATACACCATTGCCAGTTTAGCTTTAGATCCTCCTGCATCATCCATTTCACGCCGGATCCAGCATCTGACGTGGCGCCAAACAAGTCTCGACGGGACAGACCAAAGTCGCGTAGAATTTCACCGATCCAGCGCTGAAATGGGCCGCGGATACCGCCTTTGCGCTCACCGTACTGTGGATTAAAGTGACGTGTTCCGAGGAGTATCGACTTCAGCTGAAAGCTCTCGTCGATAAAATATAGCCGCAATCCGAGATACTTTGTAGTTCGTACTTTCGAAGTCCAAAAATCGCCTACAACTGTGAACATTGGAGCTCTTCCAATACGAACCGCAATCAGAATCAGCTCGATTGCCCTCTAAGTTGATGCATACAGCTCCACGATACAGTGACTGACGATCTTCCCATTAATTATGGCTTGCATTCCATCCTTAAAGACGAGCTCACGAATCGAGATAGATTCGTCGTATTCTCCAAGGCGGTAGGGAAGATTATTGTTAACTATACGCAGCGTTTCCATGAGAACATAAACCCGTGCTCGGTCGTCGCGAAATAACTGCGAGGTACGAACACGATCGAGCTCTTCGTCACGGGATCGTCGCTTCTCCTGGCTGGCTTCAGTCCGCTCTGAGGTTACATCGTGAGCTTTCTTCAAATGCTTTGTGGCAGCTGACGTCTTGCCACTGGACAGTGGGATTGATACCGCACTCTCACGGCAAACATCGCCGGCCAAGCACATTCAAATAGCCGGCGAAGCAACATCGGCTTCCGTTGACGGGTTTTCCGGGGCTTTGATTAGGCGAACACCATAGGAAAAGATGATAGACTTCTCATTTCGTCGTGGAGGAAGAACGACAAACCCCTCAGGTGGCTCGAAAGAGTTTATAGCATCTCGGATGCCTGGGGGGATGCATTAATACGCGAGAAGCTCAAAACGTTAAGCTGCTGATCTTGCGATCTTGAACGCTCACAGCAAATAGAGTAGTGAGGCGCTGGGGGCGCAAGGAATCAAGCTCGGCGTCAATATATGCTTGTGGTACGTGCTCGGAAAGACCCTGCTACCCCCTAGACAAAACAAGAGCTCTATGCTAACGTATCTGCGTAGAAAATCGCAAGAAAATGATCCTTCTTTGACGCAAGTTTAGCGACCTTTTAGGGATGATCGCCAGTAGTAAAACAATGGAAGGAGAACACATTTTGACCAATCCAAAAGGGAGACAACGACGAGTTTTGTTGCCTTTCTCCGTCTGAAGAAGATTCCGTGTTACTAAAGACTGCTCAAAGGAGATCAACCTCTGGAGATCGTGGTTTCACTCTCCAATTTTTGAAGTTTGACGATAGAAACGGTAATCCCGGTAAAACCGTCTCCCACTGGACACGAGAGACGGTAATTCCAGCGAAACTGCCTCCATATGAGGCGTCTCCTCGGAGGCTTGCAGTATCGTACTTCGGTAAGGGTGCTATTAATACAGTACATGTACAAAGGGCACTTAAGTATCACTCCTAGGAAAATGTTGTGTTTGACAAGATAGTTGCGCTGTCATTTTTAAATTAGAACTTAAAAAACAAACGGTAATTTACAAGTGGTACAACTCAGTTAAATATTTCCGGCGTTTCCACGCCTTCAGACCAGCCAAAGTCAAGCCATCAACTGGTCCGCGGTCAGCCCACAGCAGACGCAGCCTCGCTGCGGCTTCACCTCGTGTCTGCGGATCCAGATGGCCAAGGTGATCCAAGCGTGCTCGGATCACGCTCGAGCTTCAGCGATGTCGTAAGTTTTCACTACAGAAAAAGGTGTAGCACGAAGGTCCTGCCCACGCCTAAACATGTTGCCCTGGTGCATGGGTGGTAGGAGATCTCGGTGTGGGGCGAAAGCATGTACAGTACCAAACTGTACTGGCAGCTTGCAGAGCTAGTCAATCGGTACTCTGTACCATTATGTATTTAATGTACACCACACCACACAAGATGGGTGGACTAGAGCAGCCGCTCGCTGCGAGCCGCAGTCTCCCAACTTCATTCTGTCTTTTGCTTGGCCAAGCTAAAAGATGTTTTTGTTACGAGTCATTTGCAAATTTATAAGCATTTTTTTTTGCTGTGGAAGCCGGTGATGATCACAACACTATGTCCAATTACTGCATGAGTGACGGGGTTACGACCGCCGTCGCAATGCGTCAAAAGAACCTCCTGAGGCCCACATCCAAACTCTCTACTCCATTAATTAAGGACGATAACACTCATGTATTCGTTTTGTGTGTTAGAAATAGCAACGCTTTCACTTGTGTGTCTTGGTTTAAAATGAGATATGCGAGTCCGTTTCGGTGGCCACTGTCCGTTACCTTCGAGAAAGGCAAGTTGTAAAGGGCCGACAACAAAGAGAGCGGACTCGCTTAGAAGCAATAGCTCCTCTGTTGTCGCCATGGCGGTGGATCTGTTCCTGCTAGCCGTCGTGATTATCATTGCGGTGGCACTGCTCATCTGCAACGTCTACATCCTCGTGTACTTCCAGCACGACGACGACAAAAACACTGCCTACTTTCCCAAAGCACTCGTGGTATGCGGTCTTAAGTCTTTACGCTTGTATCTTGAATAGCGCTAACGCTGATATTGCCAAAGATCTTCGGCCTATTCTTCGCAGAGGCAACAGTGCTTCTGTTGCCGCTAGATGTGGCGAATAACTCGACAGCCATCGGCTGCGCAGAAGGATGGAATTCTGTCTGCGGCAATATCAACATGGATCTTCTGTGGCTGATGGTCTTCTTGTCCATCGTCATCTTCCTCGTGGTACTGCTCCCGTTCGCGATCTTCTACTACGAAGCGGACGACGGCGAGGACACGTCGAAGAAAAGTCAATGGGGAGAGGCAATTAAGATGGAACTTGGCACAATCTTCGTCGCTGTAGCGTTGATCACCGTGCTGTATTTCACGTCCGCTAAGAGCAGCATCCCCATGCGAGCACTGGAAGTGAACGCCATGTCGGCCACCGAGGGATTCCAGCCATACGTTGACGGTACCACTCTGTCCAGCACCATCGTCACCGCAGCCAGCAACGTCACCATGCAGCATATAACGCTGACGATGGATGTGTCAGTGCCCGTGTACGTCACGGGGCTCACGAGTTTTGTGGGCTGGTTCGGCTTCTCCATTTTCTGCGGCATCGGACTCGTCGCGTTGCCCATGGATCTGATCCTGTACGTCTACTTACTTGTATCTATTCGTTGAGTTGACAGTTGATAACATGATACATGTATGCTGTATTTGCAGTGCCTTTTTCCATCGCCCGAAGTTCATCAGTGCCGACGTGTACGCAATTCAAAAGCTGATTCTACAACGTCGATCGGTGGAGTTGCTGGAGATCGGTCGCTCCATTAAACAGAGTACGGACCGCCCCGGCCACGGCCAGAGCTCCTGGGAACGCAAGAAACAACGTCGCCTGGATTTCGTGACGCTCAACAAGTTCAAACAGTCCGTCTATTTACTCGAAGGTGACGTGGTGGACCTGAAACTCTGTCACGAAGAATACCGGAACTTCAATCCACTGAAGCCAATTTTCAAGCTTCTTCTGGGGTGCATCGCCAGTGTCATTAGCTGCATGTGGTTCTTCCACATCGCGCTCTACATGCTGCCGAACACGCCGCTATTGCCGTTCCTCAACACCTACTTCATCTGGTTCGACCGCTGGTTCCCGCTGTTTGGCACAATCTCAGTCGGCATCTTCAGCTCCTACCTGCTAGCGTGTGCAGTCAAAGGCTGCTTCAAGTTTGGTATGCGCTGCTTCTGCATCGCGTTGCACCCTATGAAGCTCCACGGGACGTACATGAACTCGTTGATATTCAATCTCGGCTTGGTTCTGCTCTGCGCCATCCCGTCGGTGCAGTTCTGCGACCAAGCGTTCGCTGAGTACGACCGCCTCACAGCCTTGCGGACTCTTATGGGCGTACAGATCCACTACTTGAAAGGCATGCGCACGATCTGGGACTACAATATTTTCGTCTACGCGATCCTCATCATCAGTTTGATCACTGCCGGTATTCTCCTGGCCAAACCTAGAGACCGCGCGTCACCTGTGGACGATATCCGCAAGAGAATCGAGCGTCAGGTTCGTGACACTGCGAATGCCAACGCTGTCTAGAGCGGTCTTGTTTTTTTTTTAACTAATTACAAGTTCCTAACATCAATGCAAGTATTCCTCAATGCAAAATACACGAGTCTTTACTGCGTTGCATGGTGTCGACCAAATAGGCGACCAGGATCGACGATTTTGAAAGGCTTGCGACCAGGAGACTTGGGGCTCTTATTGACGTTCTGGAGAGCTCGGAGAACTGGGGACGTCTTCTCTTCAGTCTGGACCTGGTCGTATTTATCTTCCGGTTGTTCGTTCTTGTCTTCTTTTGCTTCGACAGAAGCTGGTGACGCTGCCTGAGATGCGACGTCGGCTGCTATGTCGATACGCAACATGCCGAGATCTCTCTCATCGTACTGGTCCAGAAGCTTTTGTAGCCATGCATAAATCTTGGTGCCTGCGCCTCCAGCGATTCGGACGAACGCGCTTTCAGTGAATGTCGGTTCTTGGAAGATGGCACGCAAAGCGGTGGCTTGAGAGGGGGCCAATGTACTCCCCCTTAGAGCTCGTAGACGATAGCTCCACTCCGATGCTTTATGCAGCACTTGGCGACAATGAGACCAGGAAAAATCGGACGGTACGAACTGCTCTTGCTGCTTTGAAGTGGGTTTACTCTTCCGTGCATCGCGCTGCTCGATGGGCGTTTCGAATAGGATAACGAGGCACATGAAAAGATAGTGCAACTCTCGGACTGGAACTCGGATACTGCGTAGTTTGCGCCATTCTTCGCGAGAAATACCCAGCCACTCTAGACTCCCGGAGCTTCTGGCACTAAGGACACTGGTGATACCTTCGTTTACGCCAGTCTCGACACGTTCTGGTTCCTGGTTTCGCTCTGCAGCGATCATCTCTCGGTGTCGGAAGTGGTTGATACGACCTTGTTTGACGCCCTTACGGCCTCCGCCATCGCTCGTTGGTTGGTGGTGTTTCGGCCATGTAGGGACTGTAGCGCTGGACATGACACACGTCGCAGGAATCACTTGGCGCAGCTTCTCTTGATTCTGTTCCGGTGCCGATGCAGCAGCTGCCTTTGCAGTGAGCTCAGCTGAGATCTTGGCGGCTTCAGCGACGGAATCCAAGTAATGTTGCTCCAGAACCAGCTTGGCAGCTTCAGTGGTGAGTTTGTAGAGCTCCGCACCGCCTAGCAGCCGCCCACTGAGGCTGGAGTCGTGGTGAGCTACGACCAACACTACGTTGTTGACTTGCCAGCGCTGCAGCAGGTACAACAGTCGATCTCCAACGCCGATGAGCGTATTGTCATCGCACTCCTCAACTACATCCACGACGTTCGAGCTACCGTCTTTGCTGACGGCAGTGCGAATTCGTGAGGCTCGAGGAAACTCTTGGAACTTCCGAAGTCGTGGCTGCTTTGTCAGTGCCTCCGAGACGATCGAAGCGACGTCTTGTTGCTGTTGCAGCGGCGCTACTGGGATCACCAGACCCTGGAAGGTGTTTTTCTTCATCAAAAGCTGTGGCCCGAGCGTCGTATGACGATACCCAGAGCTACTGCGGCGAGGAGAGCCCATGTTTGCAGGTGAAAAGTGACTTTTCGAGATATTTATACGGGCAATTTAACGTATTGGTCTCTATTCTTACGCCTGTGTGACGCTTTTGCTCAGGATTTCGTAGTCTTGCGAGTCGTCTCCACACGCACTCGGCGACGTCTCATCAATCTCAAAGCCCAATCGTTCTCTGTAGAACCTCATGGCGCCAGTGTTGTTCTTGAACACGGTAAGCACCATGAGCTCCATTCCGTGCTTCCTCGCAACCAGCAGCAGCAGCTGCATGAGGAACTCGCCAAGGCCTTGGTTTTGTGTTGCGGCAGCCAGTTGTACCTCATACAGATACAGCACCAGAGCGCCGTCGTCCTCCACGAATCGGAAGTGCGCGAAGCCCACTAGTGATTCGCTCTCATCGTAAACAAAGAGAAAGCGCGCCTCAGTCTCGAAGAGTTCTGTTCGCTTGGCCGCTGCGTCGTAGCCCCAGTCCGATGCCTGGTACAGACGTTTCATGTTGCTCTCAAACAGTTCTACAATTTGTTCTCGCGTGGTCTCAGACAGGTCTTTGGACTGGGAGCCGCGGATGGTTGCGTTGGCACCATTGCGCGCATAGTGCGAGAAGGCCTGGAAATCCACCATCACGTCCAGAATCGCGTTGGCTGCCACGAGGGTGGGGTGGTAGGCATTTGCGGCGACAGACTGCTTCGTCTTTTTTGTCTTGGATTTCTTCTTCTTGAGCATGTTTTTCTGCTTGGCACCGACGGATGCGCCCGAATAAAAGCCCCTTCCGAATAGTGTCCTGTGGGGTGACATGCATGCACTATTAACCCTATCGTTACCAGAAAGATACACTAGGTATCTTTTTAGGCTGGCTATACTGAAAACAAGACACCTTATTGTCATATTTCTTTCCTCCGCGCTAATCGTCGCCCATGTTTTGCCCAATCGCAGCTTAGGAAGCGATGTTTTAGAAAGCAAATGTACCCACGCAGTTGTGCCGATGCCTTGTCCTATTGTGTCTCGTGGGGTACTGCAGAGAAACTGGCAACCAACGCCACTATCAAACCCGCGGCACATTCACAACACATTCTGTAGCACAATTATACTCGAAGAACGATCTGATGTAAGCACTACAGCCGCTTTCTCAAGGCGCCCATCGTGTCACCATGATCACTTTCACCACGCATCCCCGCCAGCAACAAGATAAGGAAAGCTGTCATCGCTGCGGTATCTTAGGAACATGGGAGTTCGTCGCTGTGGTAGTGGGTACTTAGCAATGACGCAGAAATGCCGCCAGCATGTATAACTCTCGCTCCTCTCTCTTCACGTTGCAGGCGGCTATCGGCACGCCTACGACCACGAGTAGCATGGAAAGGTCCGCGATTTGGTAGAGTTACTGCTGTTTGCCAAACTGCATTTGGTGTGCGACTACAGGCTGTTGAGGGCCAGCTTATTCTTCATGCCGTGCGTGTGTCGATAATTGCTGAGTTTGCTCAAGAAGAAAGCCCCGCCAAGATGGAGATCTCAGGTGTTTTCGCAGAAGCCGCGACGAGAACGCCGCATGGAGAAAGGAGAACAGCGCTACAGAAGAAGAGATGCCAGTCGCCCGTATAGAAAGAGAAGCTCAGAGCCTAAGGACTCGTTGTGCTGGGGAGTTCTCGCCCTTGGCGATCCAGAAATGAACTGTACTGACTACTGATGCGTCGATGGCGCTACCCATAACCGGATAATGAAGTTCATGGACCGTAAAACACAACTGAAGCTTGAGGTGTGGATCCCGGTTTTAGAAACCGGTTCTATGTAGAATCGCATGACGACAGATGAAAAAAATATGCATTATCCGTCACAGTTACTATTGATAGGTATCTTCGCTTGACGAAGCTCTTTCAAGAACGGGGCCTGTGCTTTATAGATCGATGAAGACCTTTTCAGGTTTCCGTCGACTGTGTAGACTTGCTTTGGTAAGTAAAAGAAGTGATATTTCTGCCAGCATGTCCACGCTTTCTGTTGGCACAGGTGAGGCTTAGCAGTGTCAACCGGATATGTACGCTTACAGAGTGCCACTCGGTGTGTCTCGCAGTAAACCGTTTTTTGGGTGGGATATCTACCCTCGAACTTGCAAATGGTGCATTTGCGCTTCGATCTGCTTCTGTCATTCAAGGCGAGCGATGCCTCTTTTGCAACGCAAATCAGTGGCATAGCTATAGAGCTCTCGTTTTCCCTTTCAAACGGGGAAGAAGTGTCATCCGTCGTAGTGTTTGCAGGGGTTATGGCGTACACCATGCCATCGGTACTATCAACGGACTTTTTCCAATCTCCATTGAACAGCTCTCGAACAAGCGAAACTACAAATGCGCGGTGTTTATCTCGCGCACCCGAACTTGAAGTATCATCATAATTTGGAGTGGAGCCGCTCCTGCCGCAGGCCAGGTTATGACATACGTATGCGTTGCATCTCGCTATATCAATAATAGCCATAGCTAACTTCTTGTGCCATTTTTGAAAAGAGTGGCCATCGGCGAGCGAGAAGCGACCACGAAGCTGGTCGTGGCGGTCGACACCTTGCATAGCTGAGTTGTACTCTCCAATACAAGTAGGGGCAGAAAACGCAACCTTCGAGTCCTTAATTCGACGATAGACGGTGGATGATGTAGACGAGTCCGCATTGGATACTATGCTGACAATCGATCCGTCGACCCAGCTTGCAGCAACTAATGTTTTTCTAAACATACGCCTTGATTTCGCGAAGCCCCTGGGTTTTTCGTCTTTCTTCTTTATCACCGTAAAGCGGAGAAAATGTTTGCTAGAAGAACGGACAGTACCGCGTCCGTATAGGCCGACCGATCGCAAGATTTCTAGCAGCTGGCAGGACGTGTAATAGTTCTGTGTTCACGATGCGACCTGAACCCCCCAAAGAAGCTGTAACCTTAATTACGTGAGATCGGACTTCAGAAGAATTCTTTGTCATTTCAGCAAGCCGGGACAGCTCTGATGCTGGAACAACGCCATCTAAACGATCACCAATCTTGCTAGAGCAGTGTAATTTGAAACTCGAAACGTACCATGAGGTAGAGCAGCAGTAAACATATAACTTGAAATGGTACTTTCCTGTAGGCTTTTGTGAATTGAAGACAATGAGATGTCTAGCGTATTGCGATCTACACGCAATGCTAGCTTCATCTACTGCCACATTTCGCCCAAGGATAACATGACGCCCACTTCTGGATTTCGACATGCTGATAAGTGGTCTTATCCGAGCTACAGGATCCCGCTGAACATCCAGTGGGGTAACTTTTGAGCGAAAGCACAAACTCTTACGAATGTAAACGAATCTTCTTCACGTCATGACCGACTCCAAGTTTGTCGAGGAAGCTCCAGGAAATATTTGTGCTTCGTCGTCATCAACCCAGTAGTTCCTCATTTCGCCTTTGTCGAACAGAGCCATATACCATACAACACTCAAGAACTTCATCAGTTCATCCAGACTAATTTCCTGGGAAGTAGGACTACCACCAGCATCAGCGTATCGATTTGTAAATTGGACCACTTGACTCCAGAATGACAGGGGTATAAACGCAAAAAAAGACGACGTTGCTGAGCGGCCAAAATAGCTACTGCTCTCTTCTCTTAGTATCGTCAGCGTAGTTCCGTCGTCGTGAGTGTATAAACCAGATGGCTGTCCCAGCGACGCAGTACTTGAAAATGTCAGCGAATGGATAGCTTCGACTTCGTCAGTACACAGCGCAATCTGTAATTCTTTCCGGCCACGAAACACGGACCATTCACGATATCCTTGTTCATCCAGCTCTTCGTATTCGTCTGAAAGATCAGTAATGTTTGTAAGCTGCGGCACCGCACGGCAAAGCGAGGTCCACGATTCTCCAAACTGTAGTGATCCCTTCTGTAATGTAGCAAAGCTACGAATTCCTCTGATCACGACTGATTCGGAAACTTGGTGGACGTGATCGTTACCTTGAAAAGCAGTGCTAGTCCAGCGAATCTGAAATGCTGCCGAAGGAACGAAAATGTTGTCTGCATTTTTCACGCTCTCGATAGTGTATCGTGTCACCTGCCCCAACAAATACGCGGTTCCAGCATCTTGGTAAAGTCTTTTCGGCATCCAAGCTTCTTTAGTAGACGCAAACGCGACACTGGTCTCAACAAATCTCTCGGCTGTCATCCGCGCTACACGGATCAACTCATCTTTCATTCCTATCGCCAAAGTTTTCCGTTTTGGTTTCGTTTGATGGGCGACTTGCCGTTCTTATTGAGCGTACTTGATTTTGGTGTTGTAACATGAGATGGCCTTTTAGTTTGTGAAGAACCATGTGTCTTTTGTTTTGGGCGTGGTTGTCGACCTTGAGCACGGCTCGTGACACTATTCGTTGGAGTCAGAGCACTGGTCGTCAGTGTTGAGCTAATCGACTGAGCGGTGTTAGTTTTGCTACAAGAGGCGGGGGTTGTTGTGCCTTCGTTTTCTGGGCTTGTAGTATCCTCATAGCAACGCTTGCTACAGTATGAGTTATCGCCAAAGTCTTCCATCAGTTCACCACCGGGATCACGAATTTTTAACGAGATACACACATCGTTGGAGCAGAAATGGTGGATAAAATGTCCACATCGCGAGCATGCTCTTTGTCTGGAGCAAGTCGTCTTACATACTGCGCAGACTGGTGAATTGACAGCGATATCTAGACTGGTCGATTCCGCCTGCGTTTGCGCTGGTTGCTCGGCTGCAGCTGACACATGCAATAATGAAAATCTACCGTCCGATACGATATCATTACTCTGCAGCTCTGAGCATATCGAATCAGCCGAAATGATTCGAGCACAGCTTTGTGATGTTAAGCAATCAAAGCGTACTTTACCGTCAGTATTTTGCCTATCGTGTGGATCTGGATTTCCATCGTCACGTGTACTACCTGCAAGACAACCTCCATCACCAGTAGTCCCACATCTATCGGAGATACTGTCTACAGGAATGCTAAAGTCTGCATTAGGAGAATCACTGTCATTCGTACACCCGTAACCAGTGCCAGCGTTCGGGTTGCCTTCCAAAGTCGTTCGGTTGTAATGCTCCAAAAGTGCACGTTCTCCAAGAAAAAAATCGACCCCAGCCTCTCCATTTGCATTACCATCGGGAGGGACGTAGCGATAAAGCTCGCACAAAACGGTTGGCTGTCGATGATACCAGCCTTGATTGCGGAAAAAGCGCCATACCGCACCAAATGCAGCCCGGTTAACTGCTATGTACGTGCATCAACGACAGTTATTGGTTTTAGTATATTACTACGAATATGCAAGGATGCATACCAGACGAAGCGGAGGTGTCGTCAGGTTTATCGGGAGCACGAGAAGGCTGCCGTCGCTTTGGAGTAGGCTCCCGATCACCCTGTAAGCGCTGTTTCCTTTTTACTGACCCCATCAATCACCGCAATTATGAGCGAGGTAATGGACCGCTGATTCGTTCTTGTCCAGTGTGCAGCAGGTTATAGACTGATTTTGTTTTGTCGAAGTCCCTCCCCCTACTGTTTCGTGTATTAGGTAGTCACTACCGTTGTGGTCCGTCGAACAATCGCACAGCTGCTTCTGACTCAGAAGTTCTGAGGGGAGGTTCACCCAAAGATCGCGACCCGTGG